CCCCAAAACCCCAAAACCCCAAAACCCCTTTTTCAAGATTAAACGGATTATTAAAAATTAAAGAATCTACAGTTTTTTGAGCCGGACTCGGCCCCTAGAGCTATCCCTTTCTTCTACCTTCTCAAGCTCTTGGATGAGGCTAAAGTCGTCATATCTGGACTTCTTCTCCTTGTGATACAGGGCAGGGCTGAAATCTCTCCTAATCCTCTTTTTCCAGTACTCTTTCTGCCGCTGCTTGATTTTGAGCCTAGAAATTAACCATGGAGGCTTACCCTAATAGATAACTCGGTGATATATTCTGATTCCACTCTGTAGCATTCTTGGTCAGGTCTTTATGTCCAGCTAGCTCGTCAAAATCCTGACTGAAGTAGTGAAAGGCTGGGTCGATTCCTTCATTGAGCATATCGATCTCCCTAAATTTTGGTTAAAGATCATACCTTGCAAGAAGTTCTTTTGAAATAGTAGCTTTAGACTTTATTTTCCCTGTCCTTATAGAGTATTTTGAGGAGATCTGGTCGTTCTCCAGTACATTGAGAACTAGGCCTGGGGAGTCATTCTGGAAGTAATCAATATCGTCATTAGGAATCTTGTTTTTAGGTGTGAAGTTCTTACTAGCCTTAAGCTCTATCAGAGATTGCATTCTTCTTTTTGATTCTAGTGTAATTTTCTCAGCAGAGGTAACACCTGTGCTCTCTGTTGCATAATCTTTGGTAGCCCTTCGGGTCCGGAATTTTGTATTAAAAGAACCATTCTGGTAGTTCATTGCTAAAGGTGTTTGCTCTAGGGACCCATTCTTGCTATACCTTTGCTTTCTCGCCTTATATCCATCAAAACTTTGGGTTTGCAAACTCTGGCTCTCAGGATATCGGTCATAAGGCTGAGATTCTTCCCGCATAGGATTGATGCTCACATTAATGCTCTTCTTATACCCCATGCGGAGGGGTCCGATCTGTCGCTCGTCCTTTGCTCCGATAGAGTCGAGGAGCTTAAGGCGGTTAAAGAGCTCAATTTTGTTATTCCTTTTTATCACATTATCCATCTGTTCCCTTTCAACTGAGGAAGACAACTCTATTCTTTTCAAAGTGATTTTCTTCTTAAGCTGGTTTTTCTTCGTCTTGATTCCTCCATTGAGACTTGACCTTTCCAGGCTCTCTCTTTGTGTAGACTTCAGGTTAATAGGTGGCAACTTCTGGTCACGATACTCACGAAGTTTATTAGAGTTGTTCGGAGAATTCTTTGAAAACTTATTTCGGCTTCTGCGGCTTCACTGGTGATAATGAAGTTGCATGCTTCTTCTCAATCCTTTCTTTCTTTTTCAAAATTTTCTCCTGAAATTATAATTTAACTATTTTACCCGTTTTTCTAGGAAGGAATTCTCAAGCAGGGACGGCTTATTCTCTCTTTTCTTCAGGTTCTCAAGAATGTTAAAATTCATTTTCTTCCTCTTAGCCAATTCTAGCTCCTCATCAGTGCCTAGATGTGAGTTACGGGAGGTCCGACTGGGGTTATTTAGCAAGCCTCGCTTTTTGTTCTGAAGAAAAATTAAGACAAAGGCAGTATGAGACTTTAAAACTTTGTATGAAGAGATAGGGATGCATACCTTCAATATGCTTTTGCATTAATTGTCTTTGCTCTTCTAATCGATGATCCTCCTCTTCTTCAAGACGCTTATTTCTCCTCCTCTTTCTTCCGGTTTTCTTCTTCTCTCCTTTGTTGTTCTATCCTGTACTGCTGTGCAAGTGCTTCAGTTTCTTTCTGTTGGGCGATCTTGAGCTTCTTCCTTCGGATTTCATCCTTAAGTTTTTCTTTATTAAGCTTATTTCCTAGCTTCTTCTTCTACCTCTCTTTTTCTGTTCTGCTCTTCAATTTCTCTTTTATTTATCACTGATATGGTCTAACTTGGCCTTTTCCATCCGGAGCTCCTCTTCCATTTCTTGCTGCCTAGAGTAAGAGGGTTACTTACTTCTCAATTTTACGGATCATCTCTTCTTTTTCCTTAATCTGTTCTAGTTTCACTTGGTCCTTAGTCTGCTTCCATAGTTCCTTATCCTTCTTAATGCTCTCCAACAGTTTGATCCTCTTTTGCTTATTCTTCTTAATGGCAATGGGGCCTTGAGGGTACATTGATACTATTACAATTTATAACAATTTTAAGTTTTATGAAGGGGTTTTGGGGTTTTGGGGTTTTGGGG